AAAAAAACTCGAGAACGATCGATAATAAAGCCAATATTATAGACAAAGAGCATCACACAGTTAACATTTGTCGATCATTATGGAAGCTTTTAAATACTCAACGCAATGAAATTTAATATATTACATCAATTGTTTTTATTATCTATTATTTTTAATTTTATTTCTTATATACATAAAGCATCAGGTTCATCAGTTTTCTCCGGTTCAAGTAAACATAAAAATCCTAAAGTGGATAAAAGTGTATCACATAAAAAGAAACAAGGTGCAAATGATGATGAACAAGATGCTGCTGATGATGATTCAAGTAAGTTTATAGTATTATATCATCAATGTAAATAAGAAAGTTTTAGCGTCTCAATCAAATTCACATGAATGTCAATTACGTTCAATGTTACTTGCAAGTTATGTACCTGAAGCTCGTCCAGTTGTTAATACAACAACAGTAACTGTTGTTGATGTTGGTCTTACTATAATTCAAGTGATGGATTTAGTAAGATAAAGTTTTCTTTCGTTTTTCTTTTTTGTGAAAATAAAATTTAGGATGAACAAGATCAAGTCATGACAACAAATGTTCAAATTGCATTAAAATGGCAAGATGAACATTTACGATGGACGCCCAGTGATTTCAATTATCAAAATCGTACTGTTTTTTCAGCACGTGAAATTTGGACACCTGATATTGTTCTATTTAATTCAGCTGAAGTTGCTTATTCTCAACAACGTGAACATTATTTATTAACAGTTCATTGGAATGGAACAGTTGAATGGGTTTTTCCAGATGTATTTCGATCCTATTGTGATGTTGTTATTACTTATTTTCCATTTGGTAATTATGTAAAGATGTTGATATATATATCCTTTTTTTCTATTTAATTAGATAAACAAAATTGTACACTTGAAATTCAATCATGGTCACGACCCTCTGATGAATTATTAGTTCGTCATCAACCACAAAATGTTCATCAACGAAGTCATTATATTCGTACAGAATGGCAAATCTATGAAATTGATGTTAAAAATGCGTCAATGAAACGTTATTTATGGCTTGTATTTTATATAAATATGAAACGTAATTATCAATTTTATGTTAATCAATTGATATTTCCATTTTCAATTTTATCTTGTTTAACATTATTTGTTTTTTGGCTTCCACCTGACTCAGGTGAAAAAATTACATTAACAATAACTATTCTTCTTGCATTAACAGTTTTTCTTCAACTTATTTCGGATTATACACCAAAAGCTTCATCGAATCTTCCTATTATTGGTACGTAAAAAGTTTTTTAAATCATTTATTTTATTTTGTTTGTTTTTAGGTATATATTTTAATGTCAATTTAATATTGGTGCTAATATCTGTTGTTCTTACAGTTATTGTACTTAATTTTCATTATCGTGGACCGAAAAAATCTCGTGTACCTTATTGGTGTCGTCGTATAGTCATGGCAAAAATTGGTCGTTGGCTTGGTTTTAATTTTGTTAGTCGTGAACAATTATTTTCTCGAGCATTTTCTATTAAAGCTCGTGCAAAACATAAATCTCGTCGAGATAATATCAATGGTAATCTTAATCGTAATGCAAAAGATACAGAAATAAATTTATCACTTCGTCCTATAACAGCAACAACAGATATTGGTACTGAAGAAGTGACTCCTCTATCAGATGAACAAAATTCTTTAACATATAATATTGAACAAATATTACTTAAAATGCAAAGACAATTTGATCCAAGTAAAATTGATGACGAACAATTAAAAATTTCTATATTACGTGAAATACTTGAATGTCAACGTTTACTTTTAACTATTCATGCAAAGAAACAAAATCTTGATTCTGAATCACTACATGATATATATGAAGAATGGAAAATTCTTGCGATTATTATTGATAGAATTTGTTTTATATTTTATCTTACTAGTATGCTTGCTGCATCTATTATTTTCTTTGTACGTGAACCAATTTTAAAACGAAATGCATAATACTGTTCATTTATATCCATACTTTATTTATTTATGCATGTCTATTGTATCTGTTTTTTTTCTTGTTTAGGTAAAAATTTTATATAAAGAAATTATTTTTGACGTTTAGAATTATTTATAATCTACAAAAATGAACCCTTATATCTGATAATGCAAAAACGTATTTTGCAATCTATTGAATTCTTCGTTAGAAACAACAAATGAGTGTTACCAATATTAGATTATTGATTTCAATTATTAATTATCATAAATTTACTCGATATTTTCACATTGTAACTAATAAAAAATAATAGACAGTTTTACAAATATCTCGATAATAATGATGAGAAAATAAATGATACATAATCAACAATAAAGGTTGTATCGGAAAAAACTATGACAATGCAAACGTGAGTTGAGCATTTAGTTTATACCTATATAATATCATATATTAGTATCTTTATTGCAACATACTTTTGAAAAAAATATTTACTTCAATTGTCAGTAGAATAAAAGAAACCTTCTTCCTAACCATTATTCACCTCTCATCTGATGTGTGAATACTCTCTATTTTCTTTCAATATCTAGTAATCACTACATCTAGTTTAAACAAATGATAACGAATCATATCATAAATTTAATATGTATGGGTTTATCAATGGTCTGAACTATTCTTTAATATTGCAACAGAAAGAATAATTGATTCTTATGATAAAATAAACTTTTCTCTCCTGCTATTCTTCTATGTTTCTTATCTAACACAACGAAACTCCATTTGTTCAGACATAATAATGTAACCGTGAAAGTCTTTTCTATAATATATGTCTTTCCGATATGCATTGTTTATCTTACCAGTGAGTGTTACTGCTCATAGTGTGTTCACAAACAGGAACAGAGTTCCAATAGAGACACATTTTATTTTTCATCAGTTTTATATTATTTTCCAAAAAAAAATTACAGAAAGAATTTGTAATTTCTTTTTCATGCGTTCGAGATTTTTCCTACGTTGTTGAAGAGTTGGATGATTTGGTGATAATGATTGTGGTTTAGTTTGTACAGAACGCTCATAAAATGAATAAGCTTTTGAATAGTTGCCCATATTCTCATGCACCAAACCGATATTGTAATAGGAACTATACAAATCAGGATGATTGGAAGGAAGTGATTGTTGTAGAATTGCACGATCTTCCTCATAATAGGAAAGTGCTTTTTCATAATCACCCATGTTGTAGTACATATTACCGATGTTGTTATAGAGAATACCCAAATCAGGATGAATGGAAGGAAGTGATTGCTGTCCAGTTGCAAGATCTTTCTCATAATAAGAAAGTGCTTTTTTATAATCACCCATGTTTTTATACACATTACCGATGTTGTTATAGAAAGCACCTAAATCAGGGTGATTGGAAGGAAGTGATTGTTGTCGAATTGCACGGGCTTGTTCATAATAAGACAGTGCTTTTGGATAATCACCCATTTTATTATACACACTACCAATTTTGTTATAAGAACCACCCAAATCAGGGTGATTGGAACGAAGTAGCTGTTGTCGAATTGTAAGAACTTTTTCATGATATGTGAGTGCTTCTTGATATTCTCCTTGTTTGTATTTGAGATAACCTAGTTTATAATAAAATCGGTGCCTTATCACGCTCATTTATTGTTTGATAAAGTAAAACTTCAAAAACTTCTTGAGCCTTGTTAAACTGACCCATTTTAATCAACAGTGATCCTATTCTGTTCTGTCCTGCTGAATTTGGATAGGTCTCGTGCCGGAAACGATCAGTAAGAATACGAAGATCTTGGTCGTTGTCATTGGTCAATGTTAAATTCACTTCGTAAACATGGTTGTTTTCTTCCGTTAGTTTAATATCTCCAATACGAAAAATGCTATGCATAGAAAAGAGAACTTCTTCTTCGTCAGTAAAATTGCTAACCTTTGTAATAGAAGCAAATGGAATTGTTGAATGAGAAGGATTAATTGATATAACAAATAGAATTCCAACAGAATCAGGATTTGTAGCGGCTTGTGGTGTAAATAAGAGAGAGACATCAGGATTTTTACTAGTTGATAGAAAGTTATTAAATGAAAGAAGTCCACCTTTGGTTTTATTCATTTCGGTAAAATCTTCTTTTGAAAGAAATTGTCCACGATAAACTGTAAATGTTTTATCAGATTGTTGATCATCAAATTGTTCTGAATGGAGTTGTTGAATATCACGATGTAGATCATTAATAAAGAAACCCATTCGAAGAATAATATCAACATCCATTAATCTTAATGCTTGATTGAGCATAGAATGTAAAAAATATTGAGAAGTATACCACCAAATCGGTTTTTGATCACGATAGTCACGTTCTAATTCTTCAATTTTACGTAAAGGAATATCATTTTTGACACGTTTTTCACGACAATAGGTAATAAATTCTTTGAAATGTTTATCTTCGAATTTGATGGTTAATAAGATCTCTTTCAAGATCTGAGTATACATAAATGATGGATCTAATTGATCCAATTTCTTGTTTGGTGCCGCAAAGCTAATTGAGATGGCATTTTGCATTCTTTGCATGTTTATACGTCGATTTGCACCTGCATCCTCGGAAAAGTTTGATATAAGTTTAGCATTAGCTTGTGTATTTGTTTGAACAGATGTTATTGGTTCATTGTTCGCCATTATTTGTTATAATGATATTAATGTAGATTACTCCAAGAAGAAATGTTTATAAATGAATGAGAATAACGTATGATTTTATAGTGTAAGAATTTTATTTCGATTGTTCTTTTTGTCTTCTTTTTATTCTCATGAATCGAAGACTACGTGTATGCATGTTCTATGACTAAGATAACGTTATCAGAAATATGAAAGATCAACAAATATACATATTCAGGTAAATCAAAAAAAACAGTATTTTTATATCTTTAAAATAAATAAAATTCATGAAAAATCTTCCTTTATGTGTTATTTGTTTCCGGACTAATCAGGTGTTTGAAATAAATAAATGAACTATAATGCAATCATCTAATTGACCATTCTTACCTACCTTGCCATTGTCACTGGATAATGATCAGGTGTAAACTTTTGTAAAGCTTTATATCTACTTAATTATGTCATAATCTTCTTCGATAGACATTCACATATTTATTTTCACTTATCGGTTTCCCAAACGATTGTTCGTCTTACAAAAACACAAACAGATATCGGCATATAGTTGAAAAAAATCTACTGAAGCCGTTTCAATATCATCTAATTTTGAAAATAAAAAATTGAAATTATTCAACAAGACTTCTTGTTTTTGAGAATTAAATTATAGTACTTCTATTTATCTATTTTGAAGACATCAGCAATACAGAAAAGAAGTTGATCATGTACATTCTGAAATATTATGTTGACTTAAAGTTCATTTTTTTCAATAATCAATAAGTTTGTGTTATCGTTTAAAAGTAGTTTACATATACATTTCTATTTTATCGTGCGATTATGTTTATGTTAAGCTTAAAGCAAGCGATATTTACAAACGATAAACATATGATGATCAGTATTTTTGAATGGTTTGAACAAATTATTAAAATAAATCATAACTCAGTTTTAGAAAACATTAGACAATGGAATTAATTCATAGTAGATATGCACACATCGTTATTTCGTTGAATATACATCGATTTATAAATCAAATCGTTTATATAATTTATTTACTTGGATCATGGGCGGCGCACCAGCAAGCAACGGGCCAGCAATTGCATCCCCTAAGAAAAATTTGGGGATGCAATAAATTTTTATTGCGTCCTGAAATTTTTTGTGCTTTTTTCGTATATTAGAGAAAAACTGTCTAATTCAGTACACATATTTAATACAATCTCGTAGTTAATATACAAGTGTTGATCAATGTTGTCTTATGAATCTATATTTTGTTATTTTGATGGATATATTCTAGACAGTACATATCCGACACGAAATCGTTTAAGTAATACATAATCATTTTTATAATTTTTGACACCCTCCTTTCAGAGTAAAAACTATTCAAAGCCTCGCATTCGACCAGCACTACTAATGTAGCCTTAGATTAAGTTTCGACTTTTTAAAATTGTGTGCTGATACTTAAATGATCCTTATCTATTTTCATTGAAAGAATCGAAGTTATATTAAATAGCAAATAAATGGTGGAGCACAATGACAACTCTTTTTCTGCTGCTTGTTTTCAATAAAATTGAGTTTTTCATTGTTTGTTTTTCGTGAAATTTAATTTATTTCAAAATGTTTTTTTTTCTTCGTCTTTTCTGGATATAAAATCGACTACAACTGAACAAGAATGATTATCATCTTTAGCATTAATAAATATAGAAAAAGTTTATCAAATCGATATTGATACTATTGTAACCAATTTTATATCAAAAAAAGATGAAAGAAAAAAAATATTTTGAAATTAAATAAAAGAATTGTATATTTTTCTTGAACAAAAATTTATTTTTTTCTACTATTAATACATATTTACGAACACTTATAATTATAACTATTCGAAGAGTTAAAAATGAAAGAAGATCCTTATATCTATAGCTCTTTCAAAAAGAAGCAGCTTTTAAAATATTCGGAAAACTTTTATGTGAGTATCAAGTCTCACACCCAATGATCAGTGGACGAAGACAGTGAGAAAGGCGAACAAGAGTCTTTACTAACTCGTTCTGAGTAAATTTATTTTCAAGAAAAAACGTTAGCTTGTTATAAGACTCTTAATTTATCCTCTGATGAATTAGTATGCAAGCTTTCAGCGATATGAGTTTGAAAAATTAACCCTTTCAGGACCAGTTTTGCTTTCACGATCAGTGTATTATTCTTAAACTATCTTTTTAACCCCGACTCAAAAAAAAACTTTTTTTTTAAAAAGCCTGGACCCCCCTCCAGGGTAGGTAGTACATATGTCGTACCACGGTCCTAAAAGGGTTAAGTTTATAAAAAAAGGTTTTTAGTGTATACTATGTAGCCCTATTTAAAAGTTTATTGCGTCCCCTAAAAAATCGACGCTGCGCCGCCCATGACTTGGATACATCTGAAGTTCTAGGATTAGAGTGTGAATGTATAATATATATTATAATTACTCACACTCGCACACCGTCGTATGATTATGATTTTAGAAGAAGCAATTAAATTATATAAATCAAAAAATAATTAATAAATTTCATTTATGATTTAAACTCTTCGAAAATATTCATAATTAATGTTTACACCATAACGACCTAACTTTGTTGAACCTTGAAATTTAAGTATAATTTGATAATTTGTATCAAAATGTTGTTTTAAGGATTTTTCTTATGTTGTTACTTCTATTTCTTTATCATTAATTATTCTATAAACATGTGAAACAGTAGACATTACTTATTCATTATCAATCAAAATTGTATAAGGTTGATGTTGTTGAGTAAATTATGTTTCCATAATTAATGTCATATTATTAAGTGAATAAGACCATCTTGACGGTGTGAGTATATCTTCTCCTAACCTCGATCACACCCACACCCTCAAGATGGTTTTATTTTGGATTATCATAAGATTTTTATGCCATCATTGTGGACCAAATAATATAAAACGATTGAAGAATCACTTATCAATTAAAAAAATATTTTCATCCTCAAAGCGTTAAGAGAAAAACACACTAATATCGTTAATTGCAAACATTTTTTTCTATCATAGTGATGAATGTATATGCAAACATCCCTGTAGGTAAAATCAAATCTATTCATCTCAAGAGAACTTTTTTTGTTAGAGTGTTTGACTGTTCTTCGTTTTTCAAGTGTCCTTGTAGATATTTGCTTTCGATCCACTCTGCATTGCAAATGTAAGAATAGTTTTTTTTATCCATTTTTTTTCTCTATTGCAACTACTTCGTATATAAGAGACGTAGTATCACTATAAAATCATAATCATACATTTATTCTAACTAATTTATCTATTCATATTCATTCTACAACTAACTGCAGAAAAATGAGCAACGCGAAATCAATGATTTATTTCATTTTTATCTTGGCATTCTTGACAATGTACTGCAGTGCACAATCATCGGAAGACTTTGACCAATTCATTGTTAAACGTGCTTGTGTTCCTCTTGGTGGACTTTGCGAGAGTTCAAGAGATTGTTGTGGACATGATGATCCTAATTTTGGGTATTGTCTCCTATGTCAAGCTCACGGTATTTTTATTTCTTATGGACGACGTCGGTGTGGTTGTGATTCTACTGGTAGTGTTCCTGTTGACGGCAAAACTAAGAAAATTATCGGTGATCGTTGTGATGGCCATGATGCTTCTAAGACTCGTTGTAAAACGAAGGTTGCTCCTCCTGGTCATCGTTCTTATCGTGGTAACAACTTAGGCTCATCATAAGCTTGGTATGATACATGAACATAGTATTTCGATGAGAACTCATCTGGAGAATGTCATGATATTATATTCTATCATTTGTATATTCTTCTTTGAGTTTATCATATTTAGTGTTGTATAGTCTTGCATGATCCCAGTACTCTTTTTGTCTTCTTAGGATATTTGGCACAAACGCAAGTCCACACCGAAAAATCGAACATCACTATCAACTATTACCAACATTATCGATTGGTAGCTTCTCTCCTCCTACCAATACTTAATTATTTCACTTCTTTATTTTTTTGTGTTTTTCGTAACTTTCAGTTCTAATAAAATATATGCACTGAGAGACTTCGGAGAGGTCTGAACTGCAAAGATCTAGATCTTCTGAGAGTGTAACAGTCTCATTAGATAGCAGTATACTCTTCTGCAATGGTTTCCATCTAAGAATTAAAGAATAATAAATTCTTCTATGTTTCAATCACTAATCTAGCATGCACAGACACAACTGTCTTCTTCTTTCGTTTGAAATTTGACTGTGCTTCCCTTAGCGTGTGGGTGTGGGTACCAGGTGAACAAAGTATCCACACCCACACCCGCAAGATGTATTATCCCGCAGATTTATCATTTGATAATGAAGAAAATCTTTATGTTGCTGATCAGGGAAATCATCGAATCCAAAAATATGAAAAACTTCCAAATCAAAAATCGTTTTAATTTAATTTGACAGAATTTAGATTTTTATTTTTGAAAATAAATAACTTTGTTTTTCGATTTTAGGAAAACAATAAATAAATATTTGTTAATTTTTAAATTAAAAAACCAAAATGAAGAGAATAATTTAGATCGAATTTTTCTCGGATGAATCAAATTAAAAGAATTTCAAAGAAAGTTGAGTTAGAAAACTTTTTATTTTTATAGAGAAATCAAATAAAGTATTTTTTAAATTGAGAAATACATTTAAGGTAAATAAAAAAACTTATAAATAGAAACTTTATTAGATTTATATTGGTAATTTTATGTTTATTGAGAGAAAGGGGAGAAAGAAGAAAACAGGTAAATGAATAAGAATGAAATCTGCCAAAATCGAAAAATTAGATTAAGAAAATCTTTTTTTTTTAAAGAAAAAATAAATTTTACATTTAAATACTAAAAAATCTCTGAATTAAACGATTATTTAACAAATCAATAAATATCTTTCATTTAAAGAAAATAATGAAATTAAATGAATAAATGTTTGTTTGAAATTTAATATTCAATAATAGAAAATAATTCAGATGATTTTATAAAAATATTTTATTTCAATTTCACAATTAATTATTTTATCT